TTTAAATGTCTACTCTGGGATTAGTAGACATGCACTGCTTCCTAAAAGTGCCTGCTTTCTTCTACTGACAGCAAAGGAGCCTGTAATACCTCTCTGAGGTGTGGGCACACCTGGTCAGAAGAATCACACCTTGTGTTCCTTTCTTCTCACAGTGCTCCTGGAAAATCCATTTACATTATTTTTCACAAAGCTCCAAAAGCTTCTGACCTGTAGGGGAGTGGAGGAGAAGGTGCTTGATAGCAAGAGCCAGACTCTTTATTTTCAGTTTCTGCCTAGTCACTGGAGCACTTACAGGGGACAATTCATCCCACCCTAAAGCAGAGAACCAAAAATAAGTCAGATGAATGGTGGCTGTCTCCTGCGTTGTCTATAAAGAGTGCTTTGGACCAGCTAGGTCGGAGATGGGCATGAACATCTTGGTGAGATTAACTCTGTCCACAGTGTAAGGTGGTAGGACAATGACTATCTCACCATGCTCAGTAATGTCTCTTTAGGTTGTGTGTAAGCCAGTCTGTGCTGTTCTATATGTACTAATTGTGCATTGACTGAAAACTAACTTAAGGAATGTGAGCAAAGACAAATATTGAAGTGTAGCATACGGAAATTCTTCACCCTGCAGGCTAGCAAACAATTTGGTTTTCATTCATACTGATGATCATAGAGAAATGCTCAGATATGAAACAAACTTGCAGATGATACTGAAATGGCAGTGATGTGAAAAGCACACAGCCAAAAGAAATAAGTAGATAGGCATGTACTCTGAGGGCAGTATACGGAAAGGAAGTAAACTTGGAAACTACAGGTTAATACGTATGGGAGAAGATGCGAAGAGATTCAGCCACAGAAGAGAAACCTATGAAGCGATAATACAGAAAGAGATGTGTAAATATAACAAACGGGATAACAAATGGGAAGTGAGGTAGAATTTTGCAGAGCAGACTGGCAAGCAAAGCAGGTTAACAGAAGGAAGGTCAAGTCAGCAAGCAGTTGGGTGCATACCTCTTCTTTGTCTTTGTGATTCCATTCCAAACGTAGAAGTTCAAATGTAATTTTAAAAACATTTTGTGGATCATGTAAGTGCCAAAAAGCTATTAAAAATTTTAAAAAGAATCATAAGATTGCTGAAGGTAACTTGGGGAGAGAAGGGAAGATGTGGAAACTGAGTTGTGAGGTAGATGAAAATATAGACAGCTTGGCACACTTATAGCTGCTGGATACAGGTGTCAGTAACTCACTGCAGTGTTGTTAACACCAAGAAAAGAGAGAAACTGAGTTAGAGTGGTGCTAAAAAACATAGGCTGGAACGTGAGACCGGTAGCCTGGGGAGCTCTGTTGGCAGCCCTGTTTTAGGGACTTAAGGAAAACAAGCCGGACATGGCATTAGAAAGTAAAGAGAATAACAGCTGAATATCCTAGTACGCAGACTGGTGTAAATGTCCTCGTGGTTTAAACTGCTGCTGTTCTTTTAAAGATAGTTGATTCATGGTTTTTGTCAACTTTTCAGTAATGGCTCTACAACCGTAGGGCTGTCCCCTGTGGAGGGGAGTTCACATCCTCTAAGGCACAGGACAGAACTGAACCCATTTATTCCAAATTTATTGAGGACTCTATTCACACAAAGAAAACAGCTTGTTTTCAAAAGAGAGCTTTTCTTTTTTTTTTTCTCCTTTTGTTCCTTCCCTCCTTTACCTCTTTAATATAGTGCTATCCCACCTTCTGTTTTTGAACGCAACAGCAGGAGCAGATCATTCCAAGGGAGAGTTAGGGGTCTGTGACAGCTAAGTGGAGGGACCTACCTCCTCAGCTTCGTGTAGATTGAGTGTGTAGTACTGCATGCCTTGGGATCTCGCCCATAAGTGGTTGGGATGGGAGTGCTGGTTGTACCGCACCGTTGGTCTCTTTGGCTGGGGATCTGTGGTGTTAGAGGTGCTAAAGGAGAAAAAGTCTGGCACTGACCACCGTTTTTCCCCAGAGCAGGGTTTGGGCATTTGAAATGTGCACCAGTTCTGGAAGTCTCAGGAGTGCTCCATTTCCACCAGGACAAATAAGGCTCTGTAGCCCAGGGACAGCTCTCTACATGGTAATCTCTACTCATTGTCCTAGCTCATCTTTCCGTTTGTTGACCCTGGACTTCAACACAAAGATATAAATTAGCTGTTACCACTCAGAAAGAGTCACTGTCTCCATTAACTAATTTACAGGAAAGTCAATGATATTGCTTAAAATTTTGTCATTATTGAACCATACCTGCAGTGCTGTGGCCATCTTTGCTGTTACTAAGGAAATTATAAGAGAGTCCCAATTTTTGTTCTTGACGGTTTTCCTATCCCACAAATGGCAACTTCCTTTATTAATTTTAAGGTTAGCTGGGTAATGTGGCAGTGAAGTAAAACACGCTCTGGTTAAGGCTTGCACTTTCCGTCAGAGCCAATCTTCCTAAGACATCGGTGGTACAGCTTTTGAAACTGGCTCCAGGCTTGGCTCTGGGCGCAGGAGAGAAGTCATTTTACTGTCTTTTTCTGGACGTCGTGCGTTATTACACACGTTTCCACCGTCCGTCCTCTGATTCAGCTGGATAACGGTTACCTTGGAGTGGCAGGTGGGCTCTCCATCAGTGGAAGAAGGAGGTTGGCAGTGGAAAAGCTGACGAAAGCATTTGTAAAACTGAAACAACAAACAAACAATTCTAGACGTAGTTGCTAGGCAGGCTACAATTCCGAGCATCTCTGTAACAGCTTGGAGGCAAGGAAACACGGTTTATTAAGCTTGTACTTTTTGCTCAAAGAGGGATTGTATATTTTTTCTCTGTGAATCAGTTTCTTGCTGCTTAAGGCTAAAGTTCACTTAAATTTGTGGACTTTTCCTTTGAAATTGATATGCTTAGCTTTTCTAAGACGATAGACTCAGCAGAGTGTAAAGCTGTAGAACAATCTTAAACATTTTCAGAACCTTTCATTTATGATAAAAGAAGATTTAATCACAGAAGTAATTGGTTTTCAGTTACTTCACACATCAGGCAGAGAAAAAATCATTTTGATAATCTAATGATACACAGCAGGGAGAACATAAGGTTCTTTTCATTAGCAAGCCATTGAAATCTCCGTGTTCCCAACCTGCAAACTAAACTTCAGAAAATGGCTTTGCTTAATTAACGAACCAAAATAATTCATTTCACTTGTGAGATCTACCCAAAACACCTTTGATGCTTTATGATTCCAAAGCTGTTGTACAGAAAAAAAACCCAACAATTACATCAGTTCTCATTTGTAAGTGCAAAGTGAGCAGAATTGCACAGCTGTCTCCTCTGAGAGTCGACTGCCATATTCAACGGATAGGGATACCAGTAGTGCAACAAGTGCTTCAATACATTTTGTATGTATTTTTATTTTTAAGTGAAATCTTAAGGAAAAAAAAAAAAAGGTATCCAAGGCTTACTTTGTCTTTTTCGTTTTACATGGTTCTGTGAAACAAAAAAAGCTCCCAGAAGCTGTGATTGATGTAAAAGTATTGCAGTTTAGACAGTGCTGTTGATCAATATCTGATATTAGTCCCTTTGAAAATGTGCAGCTGCAACAGTATGATTTCTCTCATTTCAAAGCTATAAAGACCTTCTGTTAGTAGCGATTTACAACTGTGCTGTAGGAAAATGAAGTTTGCATAAGCCCACCTATCTTCCTTCTGAATCTGTCTAGTTTTGATCTTGAGCACGGGATAAGGAGCGTAACAGCATCTTAGGACTGCACCTAAGGTCAAAGCGAACTTTTGCCTAGCTTTAAATAGGAAATTAATTTCCATTTGACCTTCCTTAACCGCTATTGACAGTGCTGATGATTGCTGTTGACATGTGGCAGGAAAAAATGGGTTGGCATTTTGTGGATTCCTCCTTGCTGAGCAGGAGGTGGTCGAGAGCTTTTCCTCGTGACAGCTCTGCTCTAAGAAGGAATTCACCTTCCTCAGCCTCCCTTCATGAGACTCTTCACAAAATTGTCTGAAGCTGTGGCTTTTGTGCCACCACTACATGGCTGATGTTTCTTTATATGCCCTTCTGCATGTATTTAGGCTGCCTTCTTGGTCATGTCTTCCTGCTTAGAGAGAAGCAAGTAGATGGAAAAAGTGGAATTGGTTCAACTCCACAATAAGAAAGACCAACATTTTAATAAGGTGGAGATGTTTCAAGGAGTACTCTGATATTGCCAACGACTGGAATGAACCATTCAAAAGTTGTCAAGGGAAGAAACATGGGTGATACTGGCACGTCTTTCTATTCTTGTTTGCCCTTGCCATGGTGTCCAAAAAAGGAAAGGGAAATCAGTCAGATTCTTCGTAGCCTTGAAGATTAGTATGTACGTAAATATTTGTAAGACACAGACATCCAAAAGCACAGAGGTGGACCGAATGGGCATACCTGGATTTATTATTTTTTAATCTCCTGTACATGGCAGGTTGGAGTTTAGCTGTGGAAGCAGTAGAGGTACCACAAAGAGCTCCTTGGAAACACCAGACAACTGCTCTGTGTGTGTGTGTGTTCTGTATTCTGCAAGTGAATGTAAATGGTCTGTCTTGCTAAATAGCTTCAAGAATTGATAATATTCAAGAAAAACAAGAAAAGTTGACTCAAAACATTAAGCATGCAGCTGCATTAGGTCCCTGATTCTTGTGTGGTATGTTCTGTGGGCAGGATAGGGTACGGGGGGAGGTGGGAGAGAGCAGTGTTCTCACTCAAGGGGGCTGGTGGTGGTGTACAAGCCCTTTATAGGCTTCTTACTCTTTCCGTATGATTGTTGTCCTACAGGGATCGCAGTCTTTGTGTATCAGGAACAAGTGAAAGCTGCTCTAATAAAAGGACCTATTACTTCACTTAATGATTTTACAGAAGTAATACTTAGGGTGTGCAACGGCAAAGGAAAGCAGGAAAGAAAAACAGATTGGATGATTGCAGGGACAGTTCTGCGAGAAAGGTGAGATCTGGGGTTCACTGCTGTTTTCACTTTCTGCTCCAGGTATCCTCATCATGATGTCCATGTGTAATGAAGTGCACGTGTATGAATACATCCCTTCGGTCCGACAGACCGACCTATGTCACTACCATGAACTCTACTACGATGCAGCGTGTACCTTAGGGGCCTACCACCCACTGCTCTACGAGAAGCTGTTGGTGCAGAGGATGAACAAAGGTTTGCAGGATGATCTGTACCGGAAAGGGAAAGTCATTTTGCCAGGGTTCAAAGCTGTCAAGTGCCCTGAACGAAACAATTTCCCACGCTTGTAGAATAGAGTCCTTCAGAAACAATGTGCAATAAGGTACTACTGTCGTACTATAAACAAGAAAAGAATACTTGAAAAATGTATCTTAGACCAATCTAGTCTTGAGTCTATAAATTGTAATTAAGTAGCAGGCATGAGAAATACTTCTTTTCTGAGCCTGAGTATTTATTACTGCTTTGCAAATAGTTAAAGAAAAAAAAAAAGGCTTAGCTCATGAAAGGTGCAAAGGACATACTTAGGCAGAAATATAATGTATTGTTGTGGGTGTGACTGTCAGAATTTGTCGGTGGTCTCTTATGCCACATATGCTAGACTGTAACTTTTTTTTAATGAATTTATTTAACTGTCAAACTTGGTATTGTGAAACAGCCGCTATTGTTCATGTACAGAGCAGCCAGTTGAACAAAGCAGCATTTCTCTTGGCTCTGCAGGATTTTCAACTCTCTCCAAGAATGAAGTAATGGCTACTCTGAGCTGTGCAGCCATTGACGAGAGCCGACTTTAATTCCCCTTCATAGGCAGGCTCAGTTACAGGCCTCCAACTCTACCGAAGGTCTTACGGTGGCCATGAAGTCAGTGCAGATGGCGACGGCTGTGCACACACCTAAACCAGTTAAACTACTGGACGTACTTTTGATTCCAGACCCCCATGCTCACACTGACTGCTTAGGGCAGAGGGAAAAGAGAAATGACTCATTTCTTTAGAGAGCAGCTAACATATTCGGAACCCATTCAGGAAAAAACTCTCCCTGGGAGGCCTATCAACAGGGTGTAAGTGAGATGGAAACGATGGCTGCCCCTGGTCCTCACAGATAAAGACGATCCAGAGAACGCCAAGGGAGGCTGTGCAGCACTCACACATCACGCTGAAAGCAAGCGTGGAGGGAGCTCACCTTTCTGCAGCAAAGATAGCATTTAGGATTACAGACATCATTTGTTAGGTATTTCACTGGGCCCCAAATCAAACTCACTTGTTCGCAAGTTACTGCTGTTAAGAAAGTATAAGGAGTTTTCTGACAAAAGAAGAGCATATCAGCATTTTTTTATTTAACGTTTGAAAGACTATACCCCAGAGAAGCTGTAATGCCTGCAAAAAACCTGACTACAGATTGCATATGGAGATAATTTGATATTTTCCTTCATAGCACACAATGAGAATATTCTCTAAGGCACTTCTAAAAATCTGCCTGGTTGCTAATATATTTAAAGCATTATTTTTCATGGCAAGACTTGAATTTCAGATTTTCCCAGTGGCAGGAGGTTAACGTTTTGGGGGTTTTTTTTTCACCCTTTCTCTTAGGGTAAGTTCACCAGGAACGTACATACACAAAAGCACAGCTATATCCTACTCATGTCCATTCAGTAAAAAGGCAGACAGCTCAAAGAGGCACTGAAAAGAAAACTGAGTGATTGTGATGGAAAGTATTTTTTGTGTTTTGTCTTAAGCAACAGAAAGGCAATTGAAGAGTGCACACAATATTAATAACTATTTCCTCTTCAATAGTAGTGTAAGTATAATAACAGAATCCTTTTTCTCTCACTTTGCTCTTTGGGTCTGATTATTTTCCTTCCTCAAAAGTGAAGCATATGTGTCTTACATAGGACTTCACCTTCTTTTCCCATGTAGTCTCTTAATTTGGGCTTTCTGATCCTCTTAAGATTCCTTTTGTTGACAGAAAGTATGTCCAGATGATCTAAAAACTGTACTTTTGTATTGTGTGGATAGTTATGTCCATAAATCGTTTTGGTACATGTCAAAATGAATAGGTTTTATTCCTATTAGCCTTAGACTCTGGATATATTACATACTGATTTCTTTATGACGTTATGTATGGCGGCAACTTTTATTCTTAAAGTTAATAACACTGTTATTTAATCTTGTGGAGAATAGATAACCTACACAGAACTAATCTATTTTTCTATATGTTTGGTACCTTGTTTCCAAAACATTTGAACAGTGCAAGCAAACGCGTCTCTCCTTCCTGTACGCTGGATTAGCTACCACATGTTTGTAAAAGAAGGGAGCTGATTAGCTTTTGAGAACTAGTGAATATGCTACTTTTCCATAAGCTGGAAATTCTCAAGTTCTGAAAAGAAAAAAAAAAGCATATCACTTTGATTGGTCTGCAGCCACTAACCTTTAGCTTAGATTTTTCACAAAGAAGAAAAATACTAACTGCATTACTAAACTACCCATAGCAGGATTATGTTGTATTATTCCCTCAGTTATTTGTCAGAATAACCAACATAGCTGTTGTACAGAACAAGACAAATGATAAAGTTCCATGTAACAAGTGCTAAGCATACCTACTTAATACATCATTTAAATAACAATGCAGAACCAGGTCTGAGATGTAATAAAATGAACTATAAATTTTTACTTTACGGGACTGTGTGCATTCAAGCCCTCCTAGCATAATTTTTTTCTTTGCCATACCCTGATTTATATGGCAGTCAGTGCTCCTTCCACAAGTGCAAATGTGGGTGCTGTAACACCATCACCTCAGAAGATGCCACAGAGCTGTCCTGCAAACGCTTGCTTGCTCACAGAGGAGGAAGACCAACTTGTGATGCCCGCCTTGAAAAAATAAGCAGCCTTGGTGTGGCTTCCCGACACTGGTTTCCACTGTGATGTTTCACTAATTTGCCTGCTCAAACGTCTTGTGGCTGCTTAAAGAGATTTTACTCCCCTATTTTGTCTTGTCCTACTTTGTTTTTTGACACAAGTGGAAGTGTAGCCTGATGTGTAACTGAGGGCTCACATCCACTTGCTGCAAGAGGGGAAGGGACTGAAGTAGAGAGGGGATATAAAGGACCCGCGGAGGTGCTCCCCACACCACCGCTTACACTCTGTGGCATTGGCGTTGGTGGCTTTTATAGGAGCCCACCAAGTATGTCTGCATTTATGGGCATTTCCCCATCTCTCATTTCCCCATCTCTCACAAGGGCAGAGAGATCTTCACAAAGAATCACATTCAGTAAACTTAAAACAGTGAGTGAGCGTGTAGTAACACTGAGCCATGTATCTTAATAACAACGCGTGAGAGTGCTGGTTTTAGATACACCTATGAAATGCAGACGATGTGAAAGGAAATGTGTTTTCCAACCCAGATGGTGGGAAAAGATCCAGGTGTGGCTTCGTAGCTCTCCCCTGGGGCTGTCGCACCCTAACAGAGCGGAACGGCACTGTAGATGAGAGGTTTGCCCAAACCTGGCCCTTGAAGTGCATCATCAGCCAAGCAAATTGCCTCTGCTAGTGGGGCCCTGAGCTCCCTTCACACTTGTTGCAACGATGCAGGTTTTAGATTTACGGCGTTTTACTGACAAGTAGGACTAAGTTGCCTTCAAACGCTATCGAGCCTCATTTCTCAGCCCCCAGTGCTGTGGGTAACAGTTGCACTTAGCTGAAACAAACCAGAAACGCAGCAGCAGTGTAAGGAAACGTGCTGAGTTTATTCTGAATTTCATTATGCTCTATTTTCCACTGTGAATTCCGTAGCTTTTCAGACTTGTGGTGCTCTATCATTTTATCCATTCAGCTTTTGGATGGTTAAATCAAGGTATTCTTCTTTCTTTTCAAGAAAAAAAGAAAAAAAAGGAAAAAAAAAAGGAAGATTTTGCCTCATTTTGAGCCAAAAACTTTTTTTGCTAGAAAAAATTAATTGTTCTATTCCTTTATAGTTCTAAAGATTACCTGAGCATAAACTCACAGTCAGTTATTCTTTGGATTAAACTACTTCATCTTCTTTTTTTACCTTGCTGTGCAGTTTTATGCTGTTCAAACTCTGGTAAAGTCAGTGAAATGACAATGATATAAGAACTATGTACCTTTGGAGAGAGAGGGAGGTGATTTATACACTGTAATCTACACTCTCTCTGTACAAATTTAGCTAAATCATTGCATGTCATTGGTCAGTACACTTTCTTTGGTGAAAACATCCAAATTCTGAACTTGTTGCTGTAGATCTCTTGCCAAAGTCAGCAAAACCAAGACAGTTTTTTTTTCTTAAATGAAGGCGAGTGTCTACACTCACTGGTTGCACAGACTGAACACAGTCATTTTAGAGAGGGATTGAATTAAACAGGGGTTCAAAACCCATGTAGACCAATCCAATCCATAGTGGGGTTTTTCATTTCCTTCAGCAGTTTTTAAGGATGGAAAATGCCATTTGGACAGTGACACAGATGTATCATGAAACGATTATTAAATGCATTGACTGCAAAAATTAATGGCTACTATTTTTCCCTTCATGCTCTCTAAAGTTGATGCGTATTGAATAAATGAAATTGTTTTTCAAAGTAGGTAATTCAGAAGACTGTCGTTAGAAAGCATCCGAATCTTTGCCGGATACTTGATTTAACTGTTTGAAATTTAAAGTAGCCCGTGTCTGGGCACACCTGCATCAGCGAATGAATTTTGACACTGCAAATTTCTTCTCTCTGGCTTAGTGATCAGATGCAGAGTTTTGTTCTTGAAATAAGAGTTGTGTGTAAAAGCCTTACATATATCCATACCATCTCATCACTCTTATAATATGTAGTCATTGAACTATTCAAATATAGACTGTGTACTTTTTTAATAGCTTTGAGAATTATTTTGTATGATGATTTTTTTAAATGAATGTGTACTCTAATAACAAAGCTTAAGATTTTACAGGAGTCACATTTTTAAGCAGTGTTTGTATACATTTTAACACTTTTTATATTTTCTATTATGATTTTGTATATTTTTATGTATGCACAGTGTACAGATTTTTTCCTGTAAATAAAACATTTGTTTTCATTTGTTTTGGAGTGCTGGTCTTTTCATACTGCCTGGCGTGAATGACATTGAACTGCAGAAGGCACAAAACAGGGGAGGTGCCTGTCGGTTCTGCCCGCAATTGCAATGAAATCTCAGATGGCAGTGGACAGACAGGCCAACAAGTAGCTTTCACAGTAAACTACAGAAAAGAGTCAAATATTGTAAAGCCAGTTTTATTCTAGAATGAACACATCTAGCCAAGCAGATGCTTTAGGATTCCCTTGGGAGAATATACCATACTGCTCTAGATTTGGTAGGAAATTTCTTGGGATAGTCAAGCCCTCTAAGGAGGTCACGCTCTGGTGACTTGATGCTGTACTCAAAATGCTGGTAAACTTCAGCTGAAGGGCTGTGCCACCCATTCAAGGAATCCAGCATCAAGTCTTTTAAGAACAGCCATTTTTATCAATTATTAATTAAAATGAAAAACAGCTTACCAAAGGGAAAACAAAACTTGCCATTCGGTTTGTGATGAAATACCCTATAATTTAACAACTACAAGTCTGCTTACATCCATTAAATGTGAGGCGTTCTGCTGCTTTTGGTAGTCTTTGAACTACACAGTGGCTGGAGTTGTGCCAATGGAGGTGACGGTCGCTGTTTTCATCCCAGGGAGTCACCTTGAGTCCATGCCGACAATAAAGCTAGTTACACATTAGTGGAATGTTAAAAGTGGGATTGCCGTCACATAAACTCCTGGCAGCCAGTAATCATGCAGCTCATCCTGTGTATTACACCACCTCCTGGCACGCAGTGTTGAGGAGATAATTACTATATGTCACGATATGCAAGTAACGCCCCTCAGAAAACTCAGAACAATGAGCTACACCAGGGGATAAACTGAATGCTGAGATGCACGAATGAAGCAACTAATTGAT